TGTGGCCGCTTCAGCTTTAAGTAATATTAAAATCGTTATTGTGTGTCAACGTCATCGGGATAAAGCAAGATGGAAAGACTTAGCGTCTCACAAAAACCAATACATTACATCAGGTGCGTCACATTGTACAGGAAGTAACAGAGTTAAAAGGAAATAAAAAGTCAAAATCAGGAAAGGCTCTAAGGAGGTCGATGACTCAGCCGACAGGATTTCCACAGGCAGAATTTTCCATATTTATAAGACATAGATACTGCTGTGTACGTGTTATGCAATTGCATTTTTAAAAAGACAACCTTGTCTTAGTTTTGACTTGTGCAGTGGGTTGATCAGTAAAAAACCCTTTTTGCTATCAGTATTGTAAAATGGCAGTCATCACTCCATGGTATTTACAAGGGGTAAAATACAAGCACTGATAGATAGTAATGACTTTAATACTAAAGCACTGAAACACACAAGGTTACAAAATGTTTCACTAGATACGAGAGAGATAGGAGAATACTTTAAAGAAGTGTACATATCCCAACAAACAGTACCTACAAATACACACAGGTACCGATTTTCAGTGATATCAACTTTAATATCAGGAAATTAACTAAGCGTATATATATTTTCTTCCTCTCTTTTTTGCCATATTTTTCAAGTAACCTGTGTTTGACAACAGCATAATAAAACTGGAAATTCTGTTTTTTGTGCCCCCCCCACCTCCCATATGGCCACCCCTATGAAAAAATTCTGGAGACGCCCCTGCGTGGAGCAGTTAAAAGACCCGGATCAGGTGATCAGAGATCAGGTGATATAACACCTCAGCAGGCCACGCAGGGCTTTGTGATTGATAAAAATCTGCAGTGTGGTCTGAATTTCACTGGAAGCCAGTGAAGGGAAGCAAGTGTGCAGTTCGGGGCTCACAGCAAAGGATTTTAGCGATATTTCTTAGATGACTGGATGAGCTTAGAGACAGAGACATGAGATTCAAAACTCAAACACCTGTCAAAAGTAATACCAACGTTTTGAGCACAGGATTTGGCATTATTGGCAAGTGCAGCCAATGTAGTGACTGACCTCTGTATAGAAACCCCACGTTTACCAGGACTGTGATAATAAAGTATTTATAAAGCATTCACTGTGGTAGTGAGAGGCTCTTGAGTTGACTTGACAGAAAACAGATCATACTACATCATAATAGTTATTTTGTGTAAGGAATTTAAATATGGGTCATTTAATTTAAATTAAATGAGAGAAGGAAACAAGCAAAGTGCATTTAAAAATAAGTAAAATAGGTTTTAAAATCTTAAATTCCTGCAGTGTTATAATTAGGCTAAGGCTGTTAGTCTGTTCTGGCTCATATTCAGTGACAGATGAAAAATGTGTGAGGACAGTCACACATTTCACATATTTGTAGTGCGTGCTGACCAGCGGCACACTGACATGATCGAGCGTACTGTTGTGGCTTTGGTTCGCCTCAGCGTTTGCCTACATCGTAGAGCAAGAGGTCAGATGACGTTTTTTTTTGTTTTTTTTTATTGAATATCACATGTTTGTGTTTAAATTCCTCTTTTCAGTGAATTCAAGTAATTCCTAGTGAATGCTTGTAAACAGTTGCGTAATTTGAGTACAGTGTGACACTGACTGCACTTAGTTTCTGTATCACTTCTAGTCCAGAGAAAGAAGAATTTAGTTTTTGTTCTTTTTTTTTTCCTCACTGCCATGTTATTACTTTCTCAGTCCAGTTTCTACATCTTCCACCCCCACCCTCACAGGGCATTGTAGGCACCGGAAAGACGATGAAGACTCTCCTGAAGCACGTCGAAGCCTTCGGGCCCAAAATGATCAAAGTAGCAGGGTAAAGCCGCCAAACAAAACCAGCTCAATTTCCTGCTTTGCGAATCACTGTTTTCCCCTTTCAGTCGAGACACACACACAGACACACAGAGAGGCAAAGACTAACATTGTGATGCAGATCTCAGGTACCGCAGGTTTTTTTGAAGTGACGCTGTCTCCTGAGACGGTTTGAGTCGGCTGTTGTAAATAATGTCTGCTTTTGTTTCCCTCAGATTGCTGGTGAAGAGAGTGCCGCATAGCTCAGCATGTGTTCCTGACTGTACGTACCTGACCAACCCTTTTATGGCTCAGTGAGTCATTCACAGTTAAAAAAATTGTTGCATTTGCCGAGTCCCAAACTATTGGAAATATTTGCCTTTGTCATTTTGTGCTTTCAGATGTCGGCTTTGAGATACCCAATCGTTTTGTGGTTGGATATGCTTTAGACTACAATGAGTATTTTAGAGATCTCAGTGTAAGTCAGTGTCTGGCTTCTTTCTTTCTTTCTTTTTTTTTTTTGACGACTGTATTGGGAATCCAGTAACACAATAAAGACCTGTGCTTTGGTGCTTCTTTTAGCACATTTGCGTGATCAGCGACACCGGGAAGATGAAATATAAGATTTAAAGAGAGGGCCGGCGATAGAGGCGACTGTCGAGCAGATGTCATCGGACAGCAAGCCCAGACACTTCCTGTGAGATGCCATTGACTTACAGCTGCTATGGTGACATCTGATCCCAATCATGCCTGCGTTGTTATAACATTCCTGGTTCCGAACATGTTAACATTTTTAACAACACACACTGCAACATTTAACTGGAGATTTGAACACAAAAAGCGCATGCTTGAGGATAAGTCGGAGCTTTGTTGCTTTGACACAGGTGATTCAGGTTTAAAACGTGTAGTGTTAAGTGGGGGGAATGCTGTTCTAACTCTATATCTAAAGCATCCAATCATCCCAGGTGTACTGCTTCTTTTATGAAATGTAAAGCATTCAATAACCACTGCATGTGAGGAATACCAACAAAACCTAAAATGAAAGGAAGTTGGGTTTTTTTTTTAATTTGTTCTCCACCTGTGCGATGCCTTTTTAAAGTTTCATCTGATTTTCCATCACTTTTAACACACAGGGGAGAAACAGTTCAAGTCTTGTCAACACTAAGTGCCATTACTACCTCCTTTGTGTGTGTGTTTGCTTGTTTTTTCACTTGCTGTAGAGTACTTTTGTCATTTCTCTGTATCAGTTTATGTTCTAACATACAATAAAATGTTTTTTAAGATTTCTGCATTCTACTATTAATGTTCCCACATGATTTTATGAATGAATGTTTTTAGTACTAATTGATTTACAATGGTTCCTTGGCTGAGCTATGAATATAAAGAAGACCTTGTGTAATATGTTTCTTAGGCTGATGATATACAAAAGGGGCTTGGAGTCTTTTTCTTTTTTTCATATGTCTTTTTAATGGTGTTGAGCTTCTCTTAATTTTATGGAAAACTGGCACCTATATAGGCCCTGAAGTAGCAAAGCTTTAAACCAAAAGCATCCTGAAACATCAGGTTGCCATTGTTTTGTTTTAAAAAGGGGGTTTTAACTGTAAGTGAACTTACAAAATGAACAAAAGAGAGCTCGTTGTGCTGAGCTGCTGTGCTCTTTGTATGCACTTGACATGTGACTCCCTTTGCTTAAGCACTGAGCACAACGTGCCATAAAGAAAACCATCTCTTGGGACAGTGAATAGACTTTGCCTTTTTGACTCACCAGACCTCCAACAGTGATAAAGTAAGAGCTACAACTGAATTACATTATTGCAACCCCTAAATTTGTAGTCAGTACTTTTTACAGTAGTGGAAGAAGTAGTCTGATCTTTTTCAGAAGCAAAAGCAGCAATGCACCACTGTAAATATTCACAATTACAGAAAAAGTTCATGTATAATATCTTACAATTGGATGTCAATAGCATTTCTCAGTTTACTATGGACCAAACTTCAATATAGTTGTAATATTTTAAAGCGGGGGTGTCAAACTACCTTTAATTAACAGGCCACATTCAGCCCAATATAATCTCAAGTGAGCTGTGTAGTCCAGCTAAACAAATGCACAAAAACCTTTTAATATAAATGTGTGTGACATAAATATGTGTTTATATCAGCATTACATGTCTGAAAGAATTAGTGCAATTTCAGCACTATGGGTGCATGGGTGCTACATGTGCATTACACATCACGTTGTAATAAAAAAAATGTTTTTGGATCTAAATAACTACAGGCTTTAGTGCAGCTGACTTTAATGGAGGCTGAAATGAGTGATTTCTCCAGAATTACAAAGTCATACAAACGGAAACTAAAAATAATTGAACCCCCCCCCGACATTTACAATACACAATAATAAACAATATAGTTATTTAAAAAAATTTTTTAAAATGAAGTTAATAACAGTACAATACTGGTACTGTGTAAGAGAAAAGCTCAAATTGCATTAATAAATAATATGTACACCATAAATCTAAGAAAAACAGCTGCTTGAAGATATAATGCTAAGTATTTAGGTTTTATATCAATTTTCAGAGCTGATATATCCCACTTGGACCCACTGAAAGTAGAACCGGCTGGACAGGACAGCTTTGTGAAATTCTCCTCCCTAACTGACCTCTGTAACAAAAGCTGCCAGTCCCAGGAACAGGTGGCTCCTTATGTTGGAGAGGCATAAAAGGGGCATTTGTCAGGGGCCCGAGAATCCGAGCACTTATTTCAGTCTGCAGCTAAAGTGCAGCGAAGGAGTGTCCATTTATTGTTAACTATCTGCTTCGTGGATAAGATGAAAGAAAAGATTTTATGCTGTGTGGTATGTGTGAAATCACCACTGCCCTCCACATTACTAGCTCAGCTCGACCTCACTTTGAACCGGGGCATGTGACTCCTCGTTCACCCTTGCTGTGCGTATTAAACCAAAACCACGACGAGTTTTTGAACGGCTTGAATTGCGGATTTGTTACACGATGCATCTTTTCATCTTCTCCCCTGTTCTCCCGGGAATACTGCTCTAATAGTTCACGGGAACGGTTAAAAAAACGCCACCGTTTACAAGCGCAGATACAAGCTTATTGTAAACTCGCGCCTCATTGGCCCGGTCAAATACAACCCCGCTCCTGATTGGCTGATAGTGTCCTGTTGACCGAAGGTGGACTCCCAGAGAGTCGGGAACAGTGGAGGCAAAAAAAAAGAAAAAAAAAAAAAATTCCGAACTGCACCATGCGCCTCCACTGAGTAGGTTTGGATTAATCACCGGAAAGTCGTTTGTACTCAGACTCTATTAAATTATGACAACGCCCTCCACACTGGACCATATACGATATGTTTGTACTTTTTCTGTGGGTTTTTATGGATAAGCATCGCCGTCGTTGACAGCCTGTAATGACGCTTCTCAACTACACAGGTAACTTTGTTTTAACTCCAACCGTTAGCATGGAGGCTAACTGTTAGCAGCCTGTTGCCGCAGTTTGCTTGGTTGTCGCTTTTGCCCACTTTGCTAGTTTTACAGGGAGCTTCCATAAACACGCAAAAGGGGCAGCAGTGCCTCGCGTGGACGTTTGGACCGCTTTTATTGTGGTATTTTATGTAAAGTAACAAAGGGAAAAGCTTCTTTTGTTGAGCGCTCGGGAACAACAGCTCGGCATGCTCCCTTCGTGTCTCATTTAAACATTGATTTCAATCAAGTGATTGAAATCCATACTCTAAAAAGCACAAACGTCGGCTTTGTCGTGAAACACAAACGGCAAATAAAGTTCGTGTGTTTTTATTTTGTAAGAAATAATTTCTGTGGGGTTTCGTGTCTCAATTTTGAATGCGACGGACATATTTCGCCCAGCCTCCCGACAGTCCCCAGTCCACTTGTTGCTGGCTATTCAGTTAATGCACCGCTGGCTCTCCACGTTGTTGTGCTTTACGCTGGTTATAGTCCTGGTGTTGGCTACTACAACATTAGACTTCATTAAGTTAGTTAAAATGAATTATTATTACAGTTGACTATCAAATTAAGTTTGTTCTAACTTTTTATGATGTGCCGTCACATAGTATTACCCTGAATCAGCCTGTTTTCAAGCACCTGAGTGTGAAGCTCTCCAAGGATGAGACACAAAAACAGCATTTAGAAGTAGCGTTTGGTTAGGACCCTGTTGCATAATGCTGATTGTCTAGAATTAATCACGAGTGGTCTGCTATTATAAACAACCAAGGTATTCATTCATGTTGTTTGTACAGACTCTTGGAGTAGTGTGAGATGTAATTGCTGTGCAGCTGATTCCTAAATCTGCCTTTGAATTCGTTTTTTTAAATGCACTAAACACATATGTCATCTCATATCTCTCAAACAGATGGATTAAGAAATCCAGCAAGTATGGAGGTGTGAATCTGATTGGAGCATTTTTTTTTTAACATCCTGGTGGAGCTACATTTTTCATGTGGTGCTTTACAGACATCAGCATTTTAACTGAAGCTAAATGATGGCATCACGGTGGGTTCCTTCTTGTGAAGACGATGAGAGGCAACGAGCAAGATCTTCTTTCTGTGAGGTGAGTATGAGTCAGACTTCTTTAAAGTCCTGAAATGTGTTAAATGCTGATGGCAAAAGGGATTTCTGTGGCCAACTGATTGCAGTTTCAGTGTTATCCCACCTCCTTCAGTTTGGTTTTGAGTGGGGGTGGGATTTGTTTGACACCAAGGACCAGCTGTTTGTGTTTGTAGCAACCCCTGCTGAATTCTTTTGCTCTTTATGTCAACAACGTGCCTCTTATCTATTCTTGTCATAAATATGCTCATCAGATTTTTGTTTCTTTTGAGTGCTTCAGATTTTTCTCAACTAAGATTGGCTGTGGTAGATGAACAGATCAAAAGAACAGGTTTTGGTTACAACATTTAATCAGATTTGAAATTATAATCAAACTCAAACGATGGTGTTTATTCAAGACCCGTCTTTCAGATTTTTAAGCTGTGACCCCTGTACCAGACAGGACACCATCTGCTCCTCTGAAAGCTTGCAGCCTGAATGAAGACCTTTATACTGTAATAAAGTAGGTAGCAACTGGGACTCTTTGAAATGAAAGGGCACCTATTTATAGTCTGTAGTTTTCTTTGATTTCCTCCATTGCCTTTAATCTAATATTCAGCTTGTCATTTAAGCCTCCCAAGTTTGCATGATCACCATCCCTAAATGAGGGACATACAGGTGATTATGTTGTTACTTTAAACTAGGTAGATGTGCTGAATTTGATTTTTGTATCTCAGACTCAAGGCAGCAGATAATGCCTAAAAAATTATAATGAATCAATTACAGAGTAATAGAGTTGGTTTTCCGGGGTTTCTTTTTCTAATTTATTCACAGGGATGAGGTTTTTTTGTTTGTTTGTTTTTTCCTAAGAGGCCTGAAATTAAAATTTCTGGATCAACCAGCACACCACATACTAGCGCATTCACTGTTGAAGCTCATTCAACAGACACAGCCTTAGCTGCATCTCACTGTCACAGCTAAGAAAACAAACTTAGATGATGTGCTTACCTTTTGTTATTTCAGCCATCTGGATACATGCTTGCCACTACTACACTCATTTAATGAATGAATAATACAGCATGAGAGAAAATAGACAGTTCTTTTGCATAGGATCCCAGAAACCTGTTTGTGAATACTTTAGTAAGTGTTGATGTGCCATGAGGGAAAGCCACAGAATAGTGCCCTGAGAGGAAATCCTCCTTTTTAGCACTCCCTCTAATAAGACTACCACACAAACCAATTCATGTGCTAATTTTGAGCCGGAAACCCCCTGGAGTCTCTGGTTCAGGGATTTTCTGGAAATGATGACACTGGATTTAATTAATGACCTAAGAATTTTCCTAGGCGGATTTTCACTTTCTCTTAGTATCTTAAAAGAGCGTGCAATGGCTGCAGTCGTTGGGAATCAAGAAAATCATTTGGATACAAGACTTGCATATTAATTTAGAGAAAGCATGTCACTGTTGGTGTTCTTGGGATTACATCAGGGGGACGGGAGCTGGATCTGGGGGTGGGGGAAAAGTCTTTCTCACCCACCCTTGCTTAATTCTTTACTAGTCTGTCCTGTTCTTTTAAAGTTTTCTCATCCGTTATAACTATTAGACATGTGGAAAGTGTTTATAGTGAATACTGTGAAGCAGACGCTTAAAAATGGAGGAAAAATATCTGTTATTTGAATCAAGAGTTTGATTGGTGGCATTATCCTCCTCCACACTGGAGTGTCTGTCTGCTTTATCAGCTGAATAGTGCGTGGTATTCAGACATTGCAGCTGAATCCAAATAGCAGACAGCCCTTCCTCTGCTTGGATTTCAGACATTCATTTAGCGGCACAGTGCTGCTTAGTGCTGATGAGTGTGCTGTTGTGTGATTATGTGTGTTTTAGGAATTTCTATATTGGCCTATGGTGTTTACTAAATCAAACTCTATTGTATGGGTTTTCCCCCCCTACAGCTTCTGTATGATGAATGCCTTTTTCACGATGGATAATTCCAGCTTTTCATTCTCTAGTAGAACAACAGAAATGAGAGTGGTTGGAACTGGATTATTGTTTTGGATGATGAAGCATGATCCATATTTAGCACCGTAGGAGACCATTGACAAACAGACTTCCCCTGTCACCACAACCCTGGCTTCATTAAAGCTCAGTGTTTATCTGATTTAGGCTTGCTGCCTTTTTACAGAACCCTCTGCGCAGGCATCGTATGGTTAACTGATGGCAATCGGAAGGGAAAATTGACCTTCAATTGGATAGAAGTCGTCTGTTACTTCCTGTTGCGTTATGATTGTGTCTGCAGCGTCTCACGAGAGAACATACGAGATGGGCTGTGTGATTCAGTTTTTCCTCACTGTGTTGTAAAACATCTATGTCTACACATGGAAAACTGTGTGACATGCTCTGTGTCTTGTTCAAACAACTAAGAAAGATTACAGATGGTTACAGACAAATCCAATAAGAGGGGATATTTTCCTTTTTAACAACTGCTCACTAAATCATTTTGAAAGCAAAATGCCCGTTACACATGTCCCAGTGTTTTTGGTCCAAAACCTAAAATATAGGCAGTTCTATCAAATATGTTAACATGTTATTCGTTTTCAGTAGCTTGTATTTTTAGTAAAATTTGTGAGATAATGCCAGTGTTTTTGACATGTCTGCTCAGAAAACAAGTGGCATCAGTAATTTCACCCATTGAGGAGAATGAAAAGTTAAAGCAAATGATCCTGCAGAGAACTGAAGTATCACTACAACTCCTTGGTGCTGAGCTTTTTTGAAATTGTCTTTTTTTTTTTAATAATTCACTGCTAGTCTTTCGCGTATGCAAAGAGGCTTCTCCGTGCCCTCTGGGGTTTCAGTAACGATCAACAGAAAGTATGTTCAAAATTACAACCAAGGGGTGGGCTTACAGCTGCTGAGCAAGACTGTTTATTTACCAGCTTTAATGTTTATAACAGCAGCATTATATGACAAACTCATACGGGATGTAACAGGATTTCTTTCAGAAAAGTTGTTAATGCTGGCACGTTCGACCAGCACAGTGTGGACTAATGAGGATATTAAGCTTTATAAGACAACGAGATAAGACAATGGTTGTGCCGTGATTTTTTTTTCCCTTTTTTTTGAGTGTGGGGTATATTTTTTTTAAAATTTTTAATTATCACTCAAAGAGAAACCAACAGTATGTCTTGTCTTGGTTTTTTTTTTTTTTGTGTTGTTTTTTTTGGGTGGGGGGGGTTCTCTCCCCCTCCCCCCCCCGCCTTTTCACATTGTGCAAAACTTCTATGTGCCCTCTTTCACAGGTGGTGCTCTCTGCTGCTGACAGAGCAGAGTAGATTCAGATAGACGCGTTCTTGCAACAGGCGAGTAGGATCTCTGACAGCGGTACAGGAGATGGCTTGTCCCAAAAGTTGCTCGTTTGGTTTCTAGTTGTTTTTGTTTATAAAAGATTTCTAGAGAGATTTCTATGAGAGGTGACTAATTCTACTGATAAAGTAGCTAAGCTGACAACAGTGAGAGGTGAAGGAAAGAGGATCACTGCTGTGAGTGAGAGGGGGTATCAGGTGCCAAGGTGAGATGGCATTTCCACATTTTAAAACAACAGAGATCAAATTACTGCTCAACAAACCAGAAGTCAAATGTGTGCTAGTAATGGAGTACACCTCGGCCTGAAGGAATGCCATTTGGGTTTTATGTGACACTAAGACTACGTCCACACTAGCCCGGATAGATGTGAAAACGGCATTTTCATCTGAAAACGCTCTGTGTCCACACTAGCGTTTTCAGTCGTTTTCACAGAGTTGTGCGTCCACATTGAAACGGCCAAAAACGCTTGCATTCCAGTTCTGCGCTTTCACAAAAGCGAGTGAGAATTAAAGAATTTGAAGAAAAGCTATCTGTACAAATGATATTAATCTTTTTTAGGGCTGTCAAAATTGAGAGCAGTCAAAACAACTGCTGTATAATGCACTCTGCTATCTTTGTTTAATTGGTCACATGACTGCATCACATGACTGAAATGCGTCATCATCTTAGAAAGCCTGCGTTTTCGAGTGTCCGCAACGGGACAGCTCCGTTTTGAAATGTATGCGTTTTCAAGAGCGTTTTCAAAACGCTGTGTTTTTCCTTGGGGAAAGCGCCGTCTCAGGGTGGACGGGAGGCCAAAACGGAGAGAAAACGATGCGCTTTCAAACAAAAATGCATTAGTGTGGACTAGGGCTGGGCGATATATCGTGTTTTTTTTTTTGTTTTGTTTTTTTCAAAATATCGATATATTTTCATACGAGATATAAACGATATTGTCACATCTTATATCGATATAGTCTATGTTACGTTATAATTATACTTGTGGAGCCGCAGGTTTGCCTCTCTTTCGTCCACTTTTGTCTCTACGCAACGTTACTCGCAACTCCGCCTCCCCCATAGCTTCA